TCACAATCAGCACACTCGTAAATTGTGTTTTTTCAAATTTTATCCATACAACATGTTCTACATCGTTTTTTGTCACGTACTGGTTATAATGCAATATTTTACGTTTACTACGTTTATAAATAAGGAATTTTCCACAATCGACCTAATTCAACAAAACAACTCAGAACGAGTTCATGTAGCATACACAAGGAATAATACGAGGAAAACAACAATACCATACATAAAAGGATTATCAGAAAAACTTAAAATAATAGAAAATAAATTTAACATTTCAACAAAAATCAAAACAACAGACACATTGAGATCTATTCTGTCTAAAACCAAACCTAACAATGAACAAGAAGGGACAAAGAATTGTAATTATAAATTAAATTGTGAATGCGATTAGTTTTATTTAGGTGAAACATCAAGGCCGTTAAATGATAGAATAAGTGAACATCAATTTTATATTAAAAATAGAGAATTTGGTAGTTCTCAAATTTGTAAACACGCATGGGATAATGTACATAGGATTCAATGGAATGATTCAAATATATAGTCCTAGAAGAAACGGATGGTAAAAAGAGAAAAATTAAAAAAGGGGCGCTAATTATGCTAAATGAGACCAATTGTGTCGCAAATTCCTGGGCCGTTGGTGTTTATTGAAAGTAAACTAAATGCACGACCAAATACTTACCATGTCCGGATAGTATTATGAGGTTTTCTTCCTGGTTTTCCCTCATAATTTACTCTGGAGTTACTACCAGGACAATTTTACTGTCATCATGGCATATGTTTGTCTTTTTAAAGACGAATTACATGCTATGATTTTTTAGACAGATATTCTCAAGGTAAAATTGATTTCATGCAATCGAATGAACTATCTTACTGATGGCAATGCTATTGGCAATTAAAGTCGTCTACTTTAAAATGTATAATGTGTGTCTGAATTGTCAATATAAATGAATCAGATAAAATTAAATTATTAGAAGGATTTTTCACCAAGTAATATAAAAACAAAATTTTGTTTAATTTACAAATGTTTGTATTTTGAGAACAATTTCTGAAGTGGAAATTAAAACGTCAATGAACTGACTTTAACCTTTAACTGTGGCTTATTGCCATTTAAATATTATAATAATTTAGTTTATTGCTACCAAGAACAAGATTGTATCAAAGAGTTTGTTTTTTATTTACCTATAGTTTACTGATTCTATTAAATTTAAGGACACAATTTGCTCGTTGCAGAAAATGATCTGCCCATATAGCATCACGTTTTAGTTTTAATATTATTGTCAACGGAAGTTTAGTAAGTTAAAAAGAGCAATAAAACTTTCAGTTGGTTATACAAATTATTTGTACATGAAGACAACTCGTTTAAATTAGTCATTCTTTTGAGGTAGCAAATTATATAAAGCTCATTTGATTGTAAATTTTTCAGCATAATATAATAAGCAATGATAATAAGCCATTATTTGCATAACTTGCTCTTTGATCGAAAGTCATTTTTTGGGAAATCGAAAAAAATGATTAACGACCGGGTAGTGTTAAGCTCACTATGCTATAATATTGTTTAGATTATGAACAACATTATTGAGTTTTTAGCAATAGAAATTAGAAGTTTTTAGCCAAAAATATATACAGATTTTTAACAAACAAACAGTTTTGCAAATAAATATATAAAATAATAAAAAACCGTATTTAGTTTGATATAAAACATAAGAGAACTTTAAGATCTTTAGTTTTATAACGAAAATGTTTAAACAAATAAAAAATCAGAAGCAGTCTCAATCAGTCATGCTCAAACAAAAAACAGTCATTTTCTGCATTTTGGCAATTTTCCAAACCATCAACGGTTTCTTCTGATGAGGTAAAATCTCTATTCAAGTGTTCTTTGTAAGAATTTAGTTCAGAAAGGCCTCTCCAATTTTCTCCATAGTGTTTGCAAAGGAGACTATTAATAGTCCATTTATCTTCCTTTAATTATTTTCCCAGTGGTAATTTCTTAGGAGCAAATGTCAGCTTTTCCAACGTCATTTTGGTAATTAAGTTCACATTGGGTAGAACATTGTTGCCCTTTTTGTAAAAACTAAACCGCTTTGCCTTATTAAATTCAAAGTGCAATGAACTAGGCAGCTTAATACCTAGTTTTGTTTGTGTCTTTTAATCAAACACATCCCAATACATACTGATTTTCCCTACAGTGAATGCTTTCGGATTAAATTATCGTAGACACCAATTTCCACGTTAACAGGCATTTTGAATGTCTTTATTATTGACAAAATTATGATATGAAAAAATTTAATTTATCTAATATGACTCGGCGATTCCTTTAGAAGACAATAAGGCAACATTTTATCATATTCGCATTTTGTTTTGTTTGCCGCAAACCATCAGCAAAAAAACGTACTGTTTCTATGTTGACATTAAAATCAAAATTCTTTAAAGCATTTTGCAAAGCTGACTCTATTGTATTAGAATCTTTTCGAGAGTTAATTTTTGTCCACACGTAAAAAACATTTATTGGTTTTAGTTTATCGGTAGAAGTTTCAGCAATAACTGTAAAATTATTATAGTTTATTTGTTGGCTAAAATATGCTGCCTGATCAGGCAGTCTAGGCAGTGCTAAGTTTTTTTGTCAGTCGAACGAAAAGTAAGTTGTGTTGGGTTTTGGATTTTAAAGGAGTTTGAAAAAAGCATTTGCTTTTACGATACAAACACGATGCTCAGTGGCTAACTTTTGCCGAACAACTAAAAAAGTTGCTGCTTTCAACTGCTTCTTTGTTCTCAAGCAAGTGGAGCAACAGAGTTTGAGCAAAGTAGACCCTCATAATTGTCTTGCTTTTACAATAATAAGAATCTGTACATGTTATGGATTATATAAATTTTTTGATGCAATTTCTTTTTTCATCATTTTTCGGGCCCACTCTATTGCCGCTATACGTTTCCTGGGTAACTTTCCAGTGATAACAAAATTTTTTACAATTTTTTGTATGCGGTCATTGCGGTAATGCAGATTCTCAAGAAAGTTGATATAGACCAAAAAGACATAAGATGCATTAAAAACTTGTACTGGCATCAAACGGCACAGCTAAAAACGGCTACATATAAGAAGAGGCGTTCGACAGAGATGTGTGCTTTCCCCTCTTTTATTTAACATTTATTCGGAAGCCATATTGCAAGAGTCTTTGGAGGATGCAGAGATGGGAGTCAAGGTGAATGGAGTATTGATCAACAACATACGATATGCTGATGATAGTGTCTTAATTTGTGACAACATAGTCGATCTTCAACAACTTCGTCACTATAATCGGAGAATACAGTAAGCGAATGGGATTAGAGATTAATGCCAAAAAGACCAAATTCATGATCATCTCCAGAAACTTGGATGCACTTGAAAACTCCACCATAACACTGAATAGTAAATCCATAGAAAGATAAGTAAATTTAAATACCTGGGATCGTGGCTTTTTGAAGACTGGGCATCGGACAGGGAAGTAAAATGTCGCATTGACCAAGCTCGACAAGCTTACGTAAAATTCAAGAAGGTACTGACTTGTTCAGAGTTCGATCTTCAACTGAGACTAAGGTTTACTAAGTGCTACGTATGGTCAGTGCTGCTATATGGCGTAGAAGGCTGGACACTCAAAACGAGGTATATAAACAGATTGGAAGCTTTCGAAATGTGGCTTTATCGCCGTATCCTAAAAATACCATGGACAGCGAAAATCACAAATATAGATGTCCTTAAAAGAATAAACCAAGAACGCCAACTTTTCGAAACCATCAAGAAAAGGAAAACGGCGTATCTAGGTCACATCATGCGAAATGAAAAATACCAGTTCCTCCAACTTATAATCAGGGTAAAATTGAAGGCAAGAGAGGAATGGGACGCAAGAAAATGTCCTGGACTCCGAAACATAAGGCAATGGACAGGGATTAACGACATACAATCTCTGATACATATTGCAAGAAATAGAGAATTAATGGAAAATGTGATCGCTAACATCCATTAGTGGATTTGCATCTGAAGAAGAAGAAGGTCATTGCTTAAATGTGTGATTCCTAGAACCGACTTGGCACATACTTTAATCATGTTACCCTCACTCAAACGTACATGGTATTTTATTGATACTGCCGCATGATTAGATTTCTCTCTTTTGGTTTCTGTCACTTACAGAAGCTTTTATAAGCCAATATTAGAAGGTCTTGTTTACTTTTATCTTTTGACTGAAAAAGGTAGGTATGACAATCTATCACTTTCTTCATCGTTAGTGTGTTACAGTAGTGCTTTTGGTGTATTTCTATAATAATACAATTCTTTCAATAAACTTTTCTGTAGCTCCACCCAACGTCAAAACGCGAAAAACAAGTGAAACTGCATAAAAAATCAAACGATTATTACAGACGTATAAAATCATAAATTTTAACATAAAGCACTTCCCTAGCAAGTTTATCTACATTCCTTTTATGTGTTTCTGACTGAAGAACTTTTTTTGCGTCCTTTTTCCCTGTGTGCTAAGTTTAACAAAAAACAGCATTTTCACTTACTAACTCAATAAAATAAAAAAAAAAACTGTTTTTAATTTGCCGTAATACAATTGTTTAATCACTTGAATAATTATTATAAACTACTGAAAATGTATTTCTTTAACACAGCTGTTATAATAACGTGTTCGTCACGTGAACCAGCCGGCAAATTTTATTGGTGGTAGAGCAAACGGCGAGTTTTGCAGGTAAACATTTAAAGCAAAGAGCGAGCTCTACAAAAAACTGTTATTTTCTTGACAGCATTGGTATGCTAAACAACGAGTTTTGGGCAATTCTGATTAAATCATTTGATCCCTGTTTATAATTGAAATAAACTTATCAAAAAAAATTTTTTTCGAAACTTTCGTCGGTTAGCGAATTTTGCAAATAATGGCCTCAATTATAAAACAACTATATATTTTAGTATTTTTGTTTAACCTATTATATAAAGCACACAGTTCACTCGTTATTTTATATTTTTTTATTTACAGCAAAATCGTGCAATTCATCTCTACAATTTGTCAGATCGAAGCAAATTTAATGTAAGCGGAGAATTGGATGTACTAACAAAGTGGAACGGTCAAGAATACTTTCTAACTGCTGTCCACTCCAAAAGAATTGTTAAAGTCTGGACGGACTATGAGTCTCAGGATAAAGGGTACAAGCAGCATTCACGACTGGAATTAAGTCCCACACACTGGATCGAATACAATCTCAATGTTTTCAACAAGAGTCTGGTAATAAAATGTTTTTTTTATACCAAAAACTTTTAAATCTGAGTTCTACGCAGGTAGAATTTTTAAGTTTTCTTTTATTCTTTGAATTTTATGATTGTATTTTTGCTCGAGAGTTTTAAAGATTTTTATTTTATTTACAAATATATTAGGAAATATAAAATGAAAATTCTTTCTTTGAATACTGTTTAGAGTCGTGAAACTAAGTATTTTTTAATTTAAAAAATAAAAGTAACACTTTTGTCATATACAACTCTTAATAAATTGGCAGATACGAACGATAAGAGTTTAAATTATGAAACGTATTTACAAACAACATAATAGCTAGGGCATATATGAACAGAAAAATATGAAGGAAAATAAACGCTTTATGAAAAGATCGACATAAACTAGTATAAATTGTAAATATAAAGTAAATCAAATATGAATCAAACTCTCTAATATATCTAGAGGAAAATAGTATACCAGTACAGTAAAATAATAGCATATGCTTATGCAAAAATCATCGATTTCACGGCAAAATTTTTCGCAGATATCTAAACATCTAAAAAATAACAAAGCACCTGGCACATATGGAATAACTGCAGAACTGATACAGAATGTTGGACATGCGTTATGGAGGCGTATCCATAAACTAATCGACCGCATATGGACAAACAAAAATATGGATAACAGAAGTCATCCAAGAAGACTGGAAAGTAGGAAACATACTTTCTATGTACAAAGGGGGAGACAAACGACTCTGCGAAAATTATAGGAGCATAACAGTTATAAATGTCGTCTACAAGATATTATCAGGAATTGCCTGATACACAGTCTCTTGGAATCGTTTTTGGAGGAGATGGTTGGTGAATATCAATGTGGTTTCAAACCAAAGAGGTCAACTATAGACCAAATACATATGTTAAGAGGTATATATGAAAAATGTGTTGAATATAACATACCTCTTTACAACTTGTATATCGATTTCAAACAGGCGTTTGATGGAGTAGATCGACAAAAGACGATAAAGCAACTATCTATGTTAGAAATACCCTATAAGTTGTTTAAACTTATACGAATTACTCTGGAGGGTTCCAAAGCTATGGTGAGAATAGATGGCGAGATGACGCAGGCCTTTGATATTGAAAATTGAGTTATACAAGGTGATGCCTTATCAACAACACTTTTTAATCTACCTTTAAAAGCTGCTGTTAGAAAACTGGATATAAACGGCTGTATTACTACAAGATCAATGAAAATATGCGCATATGTGGATGACGTTGCTATAATAAGCCGCAGCAAAACGGTATTAAGTGAAAAAGTTATAGAACTGAAACGAAAAGCTGCTACGTTTGTTCTATATATAAATAAAAGAAAAACAAAATATATGGAGTGCACAAAAACGAATCAACATGAGAATCTGAAAGTAGACAACCATACCTACAAATATGCCTCCACTTTTTCCTACCTAGGCTTAATAATAAAGAACAACAACAACATTAGTCAAGAAATACAAGCACGGATTTTTAGCGGTAATAAGTGATTTTATGCATGCAAAGACTTAATGAAAAGTAAGTTACTGAATCGTAAGTCTAAGCTTAAAATCTACAAAACAGTAAGGAGACCTAGGAGAGTTGTGACAAATTTTACCTTATGGGCCATATCTCGGTCAAGAAACATTCCACAGGTATGATTGATATGAAATAATTTTGTGCTATTCTTTCCGTTTTCAAAATAATTACCAAAATGTTTTAAATTGTAATGTTTTCTGAGAAAATCAAACAAATCAAAGACCGTTCCCGTTGTTACAACTCTCCTATCACCGAGGTAAGTTGTGACAGGTACAGGGGTGGGTTGTAACAGCATTGTATTAAATCTGTTAAGATATTAAAAATAGGTGTTAGAGAGAAATCACTTTATTATTATATACAATCAGTCTAAAAAAATTAATCTGATTCACAATTATGGCAAACGTAATGCAGTTCGTCTCCAGTACAACCTACGTGTGCCCAGCCTTTACAGTCTAGGCATTGAACCCATTTCTCTTTCGATCTGCTCTCTGCATAAGCTTCAAGGCAAACCAAGCAAAAACAATCATTTTCGGTTTCTTCATCGACACTTGTTCTCTTCTTTTTAAGAGTCTTCTTGGTTTTTTTAGGTTTGTTCTCTCCTTCGCTAAATACACGCTTCTTAACGTTCTTAGTCTTCCTATTAGCCTCTATGGCGGCTATTTCGTTCTTCGTGGGAGTGTCAGTCAGGACAGAGATTTGATTTTACGTCGGTTTGGTCTGCTGTTTTTTCTTGGTGGAGCTTTTGGCAATGGCCTAACTGATTCTGGCGAGAAGACATTAGAAACAGTGGTAAGAGTGGACTAGGGGCTGTAGATGTAGATGAAATTGGTTCAATGGCATTATTGTTCAGAACTATGGTATGGGCTGCAGACGTGGAGGCAACAAGTTCATTGGCATTATTGTTCACAACTGATAAATGGCTTGATGGCATGATCTGATCTGCAGACGTACCTGGAGTAATGGCTCGTGCTTCATCATTGTCATTTGCACCAGTGTTAAGATTTGGAGTTATGGTCCTTTCTGCTGGATTGTCCACAACTTCTGAAACGGTTTGCTCTACTTCTGGATTGGGACGATCAGTGACTTGACTTGGCAAGAAATCAGCTTCTCCAAATATGTCTGTGTTAACTGGCCACGTTCCAGTTGCAGAAAAACCAGCGCTCATATTCTTTGCAGTGATTGCTACATCAAATGAAAACTTTGCTATAGACGGGATATCATAAATTGTCATGACTTTCCCGGCATTGCTTCGCATCCAATTGTCGCAAGCTGTATTGATTGCTTTTTTTAAAGGCCCAAAAATAGTACGATCCAGCGGCTGTAGCTTGTGCGTACAATGTGGTGGAAATGTTAGCAAAATTATGCCATGTTCTCTGCAGAATTCAATGTTCTTTAGAGCTGTATGCGAGGAATGATTATCAAGAAGCAACAGAACTCTTTCCTCTTTTGATGGTCTAACATGATTTTTAAAATGCTTAAGGAAAACATGAAAATCATCCTCTTGCATCCAGCCTGATCCATTAGCTGTTCTTCCGACTGAACCAGTTGGGCCGTCCCAATAAAATGGTCTTGGAATCGTTTACGTGAAAATATAAACATAGGTGGTATATTTTGCGTTTTCAGCTAAAGCCAACGTTACCATGGTTCCCCTTTCTGCCGATGTCATCGCACTGACTTGTTTTTCACCGCGTCGTGCTATTATCCTATCAGGCTTTTGCACGGTAGTGATTCCTGTCTCATCGACATTCCAAATATCTTTTGCCTCAAGTTTATGTTTGTTTAAGACACCTGTGTAATTATCAAAAAAAGCAGCCACATTAATTTTATTAAAACTGGTAGCACGAGCAATGCTAGTGGCTTGAGGCAGTCGTAAAGTTAAATTGGGATGTCGTTGCATAAATAGCTTGAGCCACACTTCTCCTGCTTTTTCATTTTTCTCCCATGACTCTGGAATTTTTTTATTATATTTTTTGGCTAACTTATACGCAATGACTCTAGTTTCTTTAGTTGTCAGCCCATAATTATATCCTGCACATGTTAGCAAATATTCGCTTAATATATTCTCTTCTTCTTTTGTAAAAATGGTTGGAACGGTATAACCCATGGACGGAGCTTGGCCTTCTGGGTTTGCGTGGTAAACCTCTTTCTTCTTAATGTATCTTGACAAAGACATGTAGTTTAGATTGTAAGAGGCCGCAGCATCTCTTAAACTTTTACCTCTTAACCTAACCTCTTCAAAGGCCAGGTCGTAGATTTCCACACTAGCAGTACCTCTATCAGTTTTTCTTGTATATTTATTAGGCATTCTGAAACAAAAAATAGCCATTTAGTATGCAGTATACTACAGTGACACACGTAGTCTTGCTCTGGAGGGGGTTTTGCTTGGGCACAGAATTTTTTTTGTATTGTTTTTGAAAGACAAGTTACATTTTCCTACTATTCTTTATATATTTTTATATGCAGTAGGAGGGATTTTAACCCCCAAAACCCCCCCTGTGTGTGCCACTAATATGCTATTATACACATGTGCCTACTAACACAGATAAATATTTAAAATTAATACAAAAACATTGTGGAAATAGTACAGCAGAAAAATGGAGAAAGATAGGAGAGTTGTGACAGACTGTCACAACTCACCTAGGTGTTTAAAATAACGACTTGGTCCGAATAATAATTCATATTTTCCGAACACGATGCATATTCAAAGGATCATTACAACGTTTTGAGACTTGAATAACCATACAACTTAAGAAAAAATAACACAACAATGCACAAATACTAGACTATTATATAAATTTAAATAAAATTTTGAAGAAAAACTTACTTTTTGTATGTTTTTGGGCACAGACGTCAAATTTACACAACTGCACTTCGTTCGCCGCCTGCTGGTATTAAACCGAGTAGCGTGTCTGGAGACTGACGAACAAGCGTTGTTGCCAATTCGCTCACTATAATAGTTGGGCAGAAATCGTCCTTGTCACAACTCACCTCTGTCACAACTCTCCTAGGTCTACCTAATTAGACCAGTGGTTACATGTGGATGTGAAACGTGGACCTTTTCAACCACTGATGAAAATTAACTGAGAATATTTGAGTGCAAAATACTGACTAAGATATTTGGACCAACCCAATGCAGCGATGGTTAATGGAGAATTAAAATGAACCACGAGCTGGATGAACTAATGTCGAGCGCAGATATTGTTAGATTTGTAAAGTCACTAAGACTAAACTGGCTTGGTCACCTAGAAAGAATGCCACAAAATCGAGCTGTAAAAGAGGTCCAGAGATGAAAATCTCATGGAAACAGAACAAGAGGAAGGCCCCGTAAAAGATGAATAGACGGCGTTGAGAGGGAGTTTAAAACAATGAACATCAGGCATTTGCGAAGAAAAGTGCCCAACAGGGTGGAATGGAAGAACATTGTTAAGCAGGCCAAGACTCAGAAATTTTTACCTTGCGTTTTTTGTTAGACAATAATTTATGATTACAATTCGATTTTTTCTCTATAACTTTTTTACTTATGTTTTACATAAACAATATTTATATCATTTTTTTGCATCAAGAATATCTTTATTTTCCCGTTTTTTAAATTAAAATTGATAAATAATTTACGGAGATATTTGCAAAATAGGAATTTTTTTAACAGTAATTTATAAATTTTATTACATTTTATATTAACAAAATAAAATTTTCGTCTTTTAAATTTGTGCGAAATTTCTCCCCGATCGGTCAAATAGTTTAAAAGTTATTTAATTTATTTATCCCACTAAATATTTAAACTATTGAATTTGCTCTATTAATGATGCTAGACACATTTAGCAAATATCATAGGATTCTGTAAGACTTAAACTATCTCAGAAGTTAAATGTATATTGCGTTTTCATCGAAATTATTTACAAAATAAACGTTTGAAAAAGGGGTATGTTTTTACTATAAACAATTGTAATAAGTTGTATATTTTTCAAGCTACAGATTTGTACGTACAACAATTGAATAGCTGGTAAAAAAACTTACATTTAAAAAAAAAACTTTCTATGACCAATAGGAACGAAGTTAGGGACTAACTCGTAAAATCGTATGCGTCAAATTTTGCGAAACTGATAGCCCTTCGAACACGAAGGTACTTTCGAAAGATCAACATAGGACAGTGGAGGAGATAACTGTTTCAACTCAGTTTTTTTTTTTCGAGATCAAATTGAAACACGTAGGAAAAATTTACATTATCTCGGCTTTCAGTACAGCTAGAAGCCTCTTTTTAGTCTGGGATAGTTAGTCGAAATATGAATAACTACATAGTTTTCACTGACTGGGAAATATGAAAAACCTCGAAAAAATTGAGTCCATTTGAAATTCACCATAAAAACTTTCTTTTTTTTTTAATTTGGCTGCAATGGTCTGTCGTATTATTAATAATGAAGACATAATTTTCACCCCACGGAAATCTCGGATAATTACATATTTTTTTCATCAATCATATTTTTTTTTCATTTTATATCAACGATGTAATAATACTTATATATTTTAGAAATTAAATTTCAGGTAATTTTTTACATATTATAATATTCTATTTCTTATAATAATTATAATTATTTACTACTTTGATAATCTATATGTCTATATATGTGTACAGGTATATGTACAGTACGAGGACGGTAAACACACTTATTAATGTTTTTAGATCTAAATATCTCCAAAGATCACACAGTATATCGTCCTCGTGTCCCTATGTTTTATATGTATTCATGTGAATAGCAGAAACGTCATTTATATAATAGAAAACCGGAAATATTTTTTAATATGCGTAAAAAAGGCAGGATGAGTAGCAGCTGCCACGTTCCAAAATTGCATCAAAATAGTCCCCAACTTCGGTACTATTGATTACAGAATGTTTTTTTTAATATGAGTGTTTTTAACAGCTATCTAATGGTTGTACGTACAAGTATGTAGCTTGAAAAATATAGAAGGTATTACAATTGTTTATAAGTCAAAAACATACCCCTTTTTCAAACGTTTATTTTATAAATAATTTAGATGAAAACGCAAGATCCATTTAATTTGGGAGATAGTTTAAGTCATAAAGAATCCTATGAAAGTTGCTAAATGTATCTAGCATCATTAATAATGTGAGTTTAACAGTTTAAATACTTAGCCTCAGGTATAAATAAATTAAATCATTTTTAAACTATAAGACAAATCGGGGGGCAATTACGCACAAATTTAAAAAACGGTAATTAATCGATGTTTAAATGTATTAACATTTTATTTTGTTAATAAAGAAAGATTAATAAAATTTATAAATTAGTGCAAAAAAACTGTTTTTTGGCAAATATCTCCGTAAACTAGTTATTAATTTGAATTTAAAAAACGGAAAAATAAAAGAAAATAATTTTAGTTTAAAATTTAAGGTGAAGAAATATTTTTTTACCACTTCACTCTCCGTTACTTGTGACTGAAATAAAAAATCTGTTCTAATGAGTTTAGACTAAACTTTGATCACCATGATATTTTTTCCAAAAGTTCTTCCCCTACCAGCGTCGACTGTCTAACGATGTGTGTAGATCTATTCATCTTCGGCTTGTTGATTTGTCGCTTCAAAAGCTCCAATTTAAAATTATTTATTTCCTCCTCTTTCCTAATTTTTTCTTCAAAGCTGTCCAGCAGCTGTTCTTTCCTAATCTCTCGTTTATCTTCTATGTTCAAACTGTAGTTACCTGTCTCTTCTTCTTTATTCCGTTCCGTTTCATCTTGTTTTGAGTTTTGTTTCTTGTTTTGTTTTATTTGTTCCATCTGAATCCCACGAGTTGGGACGTCCTATACATCCAACGTGGCAGTGTGCCCTTACCACGTCAAGGCTTTTACTACTCCGGGAGGTCGCCAGATATCCCGCAGGGATCGTTTGTGGTGTTCTAATCCTCGCACCTCACATATTCTTGGCACGATGCCTCCCACCGTAATATTGGGGATTTGTTCTCGAGGTTTACTCCTCTAGGCTTTTTTCACGGTTGCCTCCGGACGCAGTGGCAGACAGTAATATTAACACCATTCTACCTGGAAATATTGCAAAGTAGCTGCATCCCCTGCTGCTCGGTAAAAAATAGGATGATGGGGAAGGAGAAATCAAGTGTTTTTTGGGATTTTTGAGGGTATGGTAAACATGTCGGCTACGCGCTGGAGTTTACTGGTTTTAGAAAAGGTTTGTTTAAGAAAAAATTTAAGATGTGTGCCTGACGTAGTCGTGGAAGTTTAGGTAGGGTAGGTCATTTTGGTCCGCGAGCAATTTTTGGAACGAGTTTCCGATCCTTATCGATTGCTTATCCATGATGCCCTGGTCGGTCGCACAACCCTTACATCTCGTAAAGGGCCTGGGACGCACGACGGCTCAGCACTTCATGGAGACACCCTATGAGCCATTGGAACACACCGTGTCGGGGAGGACTGGTCCCACCCCCGGGGATTCGCAAAGCAGATTTGGGCTATACCACATTTTGCGCTCCCCCGGAGCACGGATCATCTACATACTGTAAGCATGTATATGGTTGGGGCAACAAAGATACTTTTGACCAATTTACAAAGTCTTCTTGATCTTATAGAGTTGTTCCTCACATCGCCCTTATAGGGAGATGTGAGTAGGTCTAGAAAATTTACTAATTATTGCGAATTTTTTGAACAGCACAGCCTGGGCTATATGTAAATGATCAGGAAAATAATTCAATAATAAAATTATAAAAATTTAGAAACCATTTGTCTTTAGAATTTAAATTATAAACTTTAAATTATTGACCAATGGGTGTTTCATATTATTTTCGAATAAAAAAAATAATATTTATAACAAAAATATTTACTTTGTTGATTTTCTTTTTCTAAAGACCACGTTTAGTAATAAAATGAATGATTCCACCCGTTAATTTCAGGATGAAACGTTTGATGCTCAGAAAGTTGTCATTAACGTGATATACCCCCGGCGCAGCTTCACGGCTCAGGGTTTCTACAATATAAGTGATTCAATTGTATCAACTGACGTGTCTCTGGTGTATGACAAGGACAATAAAACAGTTCAAGCGGGACTGGATTGGAGACGTGCCTCGCTTCATCGCGAACAATTATTACTTCAAATTAAGCATCCTTCTTTTGAAAGGGTATGTATGAATATTGTTATAGTTTACAGTTACTGTTTTTATTAGCAGTATGACTATTAGGAACATACCAATATCTTTTTTCTTTTTAAGTATATTAAGTTAGTTAGGTATATTAAATTAGGTAGAGAGTAACCAATTTGATTATTTTACAAATTTTACAGGAGTTTATGCAGACGTAGCTATATAAATGCCATTCTATAAAAAGTATGGAACATCCTTGCAGAAACAAACGGAAAATTTCATTCAATATATAATATTAATAATATTAATAATAGCGTTTATTGTCCAACAGAATTCATTTATAGGACAAAATACAATACTAAAGTTAAATGAAATAGGTAATACTAACCATTCATAGGTACTAATTAAACTGCAGTGAAATATATCGCAGTAAGCACTTAAGAAATTATAATAGCTGCACATGAGAAATAGTGGAGAATTTAATATAAGATTGGTTCTAGCTTGTGTATTTCTGAACGTAATCAAATTTTTCATTGGATAAGATGGAACGTTAAAATTTATTATTTGTCGAAGAATATCAGGGCAGTCAATGAGATTATACAGTAGCTTGTACAGGAATATTAGGGAGGCATTAATTCGTCTAGATTCTAATGATACTACGTCCAAACCGCCACACAACTCACTATTGCTGATGCCCCTCTTGGGATATGTGCTATTAATTTTGAAAGACAAAATTTTTAAGATTTACGCTGCACCTGTTCTATAATTTGGATATGTACATCATAAAAAAGTGACCAAATGACGTAGGCATATTCGAGTTTACAGCGTACAAAAGTGTAATAAAGTAATTTAATTCCTTTAGTATTAGTGAGATTTAGACTATTTCTAATTATAAATCCATAAGATTTAAGTGCATCTTTAACCTTTAAATTAACATGTTCAAAAAAGGTGAGTTTATAATCAAATGTAACTTCAAGGTTTTTAATTTTATTCAAACGTTTAAGTTCATTGCCATCGATAATATAAGGATGGTATATATTAGACTGTTTCCTAGAATAACTAACTACTTTGCACTTATTGGCATTAAGATTCAAATGATTTGCATTACACCATTCATGTACACGATTTAGTTCACTCTGCAGAAAATGACAATCATTAAGGTCGCTTATCAATGAATAAATATTTAAATCATCGGCACAACATAAACATGGTCCAGAAATTGATTCACACAGATCGTTAATAAATAAAAAGAACAATAATGGACCTAGATTAGAACCTTGTGGAACCCCTGAAGTAGCTAGGTACTTTTCTGATTTGTAACCATTATAAGCAACAAACTGCGTTCTATTTGACAAGTAAGACCCCATAAAAGTCACGGCATTCTCAGAAAGACTAAAGAGACACAATTTATAAACTAATACGCCGTGGTGAATTCTGTCGAACGCCTTCATAAGGTCAGTATAATATATGACGTCAACTTGACTTCTATTATCTAGGGCCGCTGAGATATATTGTGTGACCATTATTAAGTTTGTCACAGTGGACCGATTTTAGACAAAACCATGTTGATATTGAGACAGCTGATTACGAGTGCGTGAATAAATACGATTATACAAAACTATTTCAAAGACTTTCTAAAGATTGCAAATAATAGAAATTGGTCTGTATTTAGAAATTTATTACTAGCAGAAATTATCGCAGACTCCAAAATAGGATAAAAATTTCAAATAAATGACGGTTGCGTTTCGAATTATTTAACTTCATAAATATATTTTAACTTCATAAAAATTTAAGTAATCTGCGTTAACTAAGGAAGATTTAGCCTTGAAATTAATATCTGATGACAGAAAAACACTCTTGAAAAATTTTGCAGACATATTCACAACATTTTGTGGGTCAGAGCTAGTGATGCCATTATATTTCATCACACCAGGAATTCTTGAACTATTATTTTTCGAATTTACGTACGACCAAAACTTCTTGGGGTTGATGGATAAAGCAATTTGGATATTCTCGACATATACATTGTATGCCAAACTGATTTTTGATTTGACAAGGTGTCTTAACTGTTGAAACTGAAAGCAAATCACAATGCTTTTTAAATCGTTTAAACTTTTTTCTAAACTTTGCTTTTAATTTGATGTTGTGAATGATATCAGCATCAAACCAGGGTGGGTATTTATGGCTAAAATTTTTATAAACTGGAATATACTTATTAAACACAAAAAAAATCTTATCATAAAAGTTATTTAAAGTTTCATTAACGTCAGTAGAAGTATCCAGAGAATTCCAATCCGTTCCATATAGTTCTCGATATAAAGCAGGAAAATTTGAAAGTTGACACAGCCATCGATATAGCGGTAGAAGAATGGTACATTAAAATCTAAATGACTCATGACAGATTCTTCTAAGTCTTCCAGAACCAGTTGGGCAATGACACTAGAAATACTTGCACCCATTGCGCATCCATCCATTTGTTGCACCCTCGAGATAGACCGCATACTACAGTAACACCGAACTTTAGTATATTACATACATAATAATTCCAAGAGATTTGACTTACCCTCTATTTCCGATTCCGTTTAGTGAACGCTGTCAATAGCAACATTTCCATCACAAACTGATTCAACTTCGCTTATGTCGTCATCTACCTCATCAAGTCATTTCAAAAGAGTTTCCTCATAGTTTTTATCCCCATATTTCACCTTTTTTGACGTACTGGGTCTCTTATCCATTTTCAGGTAAGTAGTAAATAAATACGAACACTAACAACCCGTCTATTGGATGAAAATCATACTTTGAATCTTTGGAATAACAACCTGCAGCAAACTACCGATCTCAATACTAATAAATAATAACCCAACTTAAAAAGTCATAAACGGTCGACCTTAAAAACTTTTTAGGTAGGCAGATATCCCACTTTCGACAACTGATGCTGTCTGAGAGACGGGGCATTAGTGGTTAAGGGTTAAATAAATAGATGGTGATTAGACTTATTACAAATATAATGAGTTTACAAAGAAAATCGTAAGAATAGCTAGATTTAATTAAAATTTATTTGGGATTCCTTGTCCTGACAAAGACGAAATATTTCCTGAATAAAGTTAGCTCAGAGACTCCGGCCCTGAATGTCAGGCATGAAAGTCGACTTAATTTAAGCTCCACAACTTTTATTGTATTTTAATAGAAAAAGTATAAATTTAAATAATTAAAAGTGATATATCAAAGAAGTTTACAGTGATTTGTTAGGTGCCGTAAGTACTTCTTTCCAATTAATCATAGTTTGATTAAAAATATCACTTTTAAGCATCAATAACATATTCTTATCAATAACTGTAGTTAAAAATTAACCAAAAAGCTAGTTGTACTCTTATCGTTATGCAGCTAAATTGGTAATTACCAGACCGATCAACTAATTTTAAAATAAATAGAGTCGGAATTTATTTTATTTATTCCATATATAAAATCGACTCCTGTTAAGATCGCATAGAGGATTCATCATGTTCGTAACATCAGATGGAAGTTTCAACGTAATTAGCTCTGTACCACAACATACCAACATAGTTAAATCCTACTCAAAAGTTCTAAGCCAACATACATACCCTAGTCCTGAACAAACGATCGTTTTCTCTTCAAAGAATGGATTACGCCTACAGGACTACAAAATACCACTAGGAGCATTTATACAGCCCAAAAACATCTTATTTTCTTTAAGGCTGCCCAATAATCGAGTATGCATGTATCTAGCGAGCAAAGAAATTGTGGATAACTTTATGCAGATACATGATGGTGTAATAATAATAAATGATGAACCAGTTCAAGCTAGATAATATATTACTCCAGTGGATAGATTAGTTCTATCAAATGTATGCCCCTCAATCCCCATGATATTCCTATTCACGAATTAGCAAACCTAGGTCTCAAACTAATGTCATCAATGACCTTTCTTCGTATTAGCTCTACCTTACTGTAATTCAGTCATATTTACAGTTTTAGAAGGTACGTTTTTATCAACTCTGTTATAAATCCTTTACCAGAATCTTTTTTGATTAATTACGACAACAAATCCTATCAAATTTTCTTATCCCAAGATAATAAAATTAACTGCAAACAGCAAGGACATAATGCTAATAATTGTAAAAATCCCACAAACTCTCAACGATCCCCGACACCTTCAACTATTTCAACATCGATAAACACTTCTTCACAAATGGAGACCATAGAAAAACTTCCTAATCAGCAATCTACTTCCTTTACAAACAGTACAAATCCTGAATATATCGAACTAAAAGAATTCTCGCTTACCAATACCATTACACCTCAAGAAAATAACAGCGCTATATCCCTAGATATTACTCAACTGACAAGCCTTAAACGTGACATAGATGAAATTATATCACCTTCACCAACATATACACCAGCTCTGTCAGAATAAGACAAACAAACAGAAGTAAATTTTAGGAAACCTACACAAAAACTCAACAAAAAACCCAAGAAAAGTTCTGATACTGACCTAAAAACAATAATAAATGAACATTCACCACCATATATCCTTAATCACGACCAATTTATAGATGTGTTAGAAAACGTACCAGGTTCTGCAAATATTATCACCACTATTAACAAAGTATACACATGATTTTACCGGATTGCTAGTAATGATTAGTAACTTATATGCTCACTTAACAGATAGATCTCTTAAAATCAAATGAACCAAACAGAAAAAATCAAAAAACACCTAAATGACGAACTCTCTTCTACCAACAACGAAAATGACCCTTTACTTAACACAGACTCAGAGTCTTAATAAAATTAAAACTTTTTTACAACTAGAAAGTAAAAATGGCGTCGTTGAATTCAATTATTCAGTGAAATATAAACGGATACTATAATAACTTACCGATGTTAAAAAATGTACAATCCGACTATCTACCAGATATTATTTGTCTTAAGAAATGAATCTTAAGAGCAACGAAGAATCTTGTTTATATAATTATCAAAGTTTTTCAAAAAATAGAGTAAACCAAAGAATAGCAAGC